CAGTACCAGAGAAGGTAGGCATAGGAAGAGATTAACATACATGATAGAACAATTATTACAGTATACTTTTATCAAAGTTAGATGAATGTGGGCTCTTTCTCCAAGTATCCTATTTTACTGTAGATCTGAGCAGCCTCATTGTATGATTTTTTTCTCTCATTAAGTGAAGAATTTTTACCTTTTCACTTAAGGACGCGTGTTACAGCTTTCCTTTGGCATATCTTATTTTATGTAAATAAGGGCTCTTTGAACACAAGCACCTTGACACCTGACAGATGATCTGATCGCTGAGATTGCTAGTAAATGACTAAAGGCCGGCACACACTGTACGGATACCAAAGCGATGGATCCTGCTTCTGGACCGCGTGACTCCTAGGTGGGACTATGAGATACGGTGCTCCGAGATTTCATCATGCTATTCAGAACAGTGTGAAGTTTAATGGAACTCAGGAATTGAATGTTACTGGACTCTCCCACACAATATTTTGGACTATAGTGACTGTGGGTAACTGAAATCACACATGGTGAAACTGCCAATAAGGGATGAGCACTGTATCAGAATTTCTTTCCTTTTTAAGGCTGATAATATTGCATAATGTGGATAAGACCGAGTTTTGCATATCCATCTACTTGTGGATGGACATGGGCTTGTTTCTCTCTCTTAGTTATTACAGATGGTGATGCTATGAACGTAGGTATACAAGTATCTTTGAGACTTTGCCTTCACTCTTCTGGATTATATTCCCAGAAGCCCTGAAGTAGTGGCATTGCTGGCTCATATGGCAATACTGGGTTTTTGGGAACCATCATACTATTTTCCATAGTGACTGTCCCGTTTACACTCCTACCAATTTCTCTACGTCTTCCAACATGTATTTTGTTTTTGTTTTTATAATAGCTATTCTAACAGGTGACAGTTATTGCTTTTTTACCTATTATCTCTATAATTTCTTCTTTTTGAACTCCACTTAAGTATATGCTCTTTTCTCTCTAGCCCCTGTCTCTTAAAAGAGCTTTGTGTTTAAAAGAACTTTCTATCCTTTTGCCTCTCTGTGCTTTATTCTGGATCTTGTGTTCAAACTTCTTGTTCAGTCCTGTTTAATTTTCTCATCTACCCATTGCATTTTAAGCAAAGTTCATCCCTTGAGTACTTAACTTTGCCTGTTATATTACTTGATTCTTTATAAAATCTATGTCACTTTTGAAATGCTGTCATGTTTGTCCCCTAAATTTTAGTGATGTGTTTCATCTTAGACACGGTAGGGATTGTTATATTAAATTCTGCATCCAGAGTTCAAATGAATCTTTGTTTCTGTTAGTTTTCAAACATGTTACTCAGTATGTTTGGTTGTCTTTGGTTGGGTTTGGATGTTACCTTTGAAAAATTATTAACAGAAATAGAGGGTTAGACTGCAATGATGTTCTTTTCACTCAGAAGTGATTTTTGTTTTTATCTGGGAAATTAGAGTTTACATATCAGGGATTAGAACTTTTATGGGACACTTGAAAGCTAAGATAAAACCACTTGGGTTTCTGCTTAAGTTCTAGGGGTTACCGGGCCACCAGTCTTGAAGGCTTTTGCAACTAACCTTTGTTCACCTGGGTGACCCAACGGTATCAAAAGTAATTCTCAGCCAAAGCTGAGGTATGTGGACTGGAAATTTGAGGCTAGCCTGATGCTTGAACTTTATTATTTTTTTTATGATTACATTCATTGTGGGGAGTTGGTACATGAGCGTAACACATGTTAATTCTTTTTACTTGCCCTGCTGTATTAGAACTTTAGTGCTCTTACGTTTCTTGACCTGGTAATTCTTCTCTGATACTTTTATACTATATCCGGCTTAATTGTTTTCAGCGGGAGGGCTGGACCTGATTACTTAGCCATATCACCTTTACAAAAGCATCTTTAAATTCTTTTATTACAGAGTGTGTGGGAGCTGAGAGTGTCTCTCTGGTAGAGCATTTGCCAACTATGTGAGGCTCGGGGTCCCATCCACTCAGAAGCACGAGGATGGGAGTGGGGGTGGAGGCTGGCTGGGTTGGACTTTAACTCATCTGTCAGAAAGAAGCGGTGTATTGGTTATCTGCATTGTCTCCAGCGATGGCTATATATTTGGAAAATTCTGAGGAAATGCAAGAGAATGTTTCCCAAGTTCAAGGAGTTTAGCGAGGGAAACAATGTAAACACATTAGCCGAGATAAAATGTTGGAGGAGGTGCTCCAGGTAATGATTAAAGACAGTAAGTGCTGAGTGGGAGTCCAATGGTCCCTTCACCCATGTCCCAGGGCTGGCCCCATCTCCTGTCTAAAAGCACCAGCTCCCTTGGCGCTCCCCATTGCAGCCCTTCAGTGGCTCCCCCACTTCTACCCACACTTGGCTGTCTTGGGGACCTCCCTGCAGGTCCCCTGTTTACTCCTTGCTCCTTGGTAGGCACTCTTCTCTCTGCTAGAGGTTTCTACCCGCCTTGACTGTGAGGCCAGTATCCTCCCTCTCCCCTCTCCCCTCTTCCCTTTGTGTTCCCTAGTACAGGTGATTGAGCCTAGGGCTCTCACACTAAGCTATATCCTCACTCATTTTTCATTTTTAATTTTGAGACAAAGGCCCATTAAGTCCCTAAGTTGCCCATGCTGGGCTTGAACTTGTGATTCTAAATTGCCTAGTACACTGTCCTCTGTCAGCCCAGTCCTGTTGCATCAGCCCCTTCGCCTGTGGAGAGCGCCTGTGTAGAGTGCTGATGGCCAGGTGTGTAGTCTGGCCCTTGCCAGGTGCGCAACACTATTTCAAGCACTTTGCTTACATACTTTTAAATCCTCACAGCAGCCTATGAGGTAACTGTTACTATTTCTCCTGTTTTACAGATGAGAATTTTAAGGCACCGATTGGTGTCACAGCTAATTATTAGTGGTTTTCTCCTGGGCAAGAACTTTCTTTATGCCCTTGCTTCCCTCTTTAGGGAAGTGGAGGCAGAAGAACATGAACTGTCGAGATACACACTGGCTGGTGGTCCATCACATCCTTACCCTCCAGGGTTTTTCGCCCCAGTTGAACCAGACACTTCTGTATGGTGAATCCCTGTACATCTCTCAGAGTCCACTTGTTTATTGTGCCCTGAAGTTACCCGGATGTTTCTCTGTGGTTTAGCTGTGTCTGCCAGTCTTCAGGCGGACTATCATTGTGGAAAAGGTCAAAGTCTTTGTTCCCTAGACATCATAGCTTAATTGACTGAGGCTCTCTTATCTGAAACACAGTAGTCCTAATGCATCTCAGTCTTGAATGATTGATGAGCAGTGTGGTGGGGAGCAAAGTTGTCATTGTTAGTATTTCTGTACGATTAATGTGCCTGCTCTCACTGGCATGCAACAGGCACTCAGGATTCCATCCGGGGAACCTCAGTCCAATTAAGCGGTGGGTGAGCTTTTTAAAAAATGAAGTATATTTTAAAATTGTTTTGGAGTTACAGAAAAATTGCAGGTCAGTTGAGCTCACCCCCATGTACCTCACCCATTCTCTTACTATGTCTAATGTATTTGGATTTATTATTATTAATGAAAGTCTGTGCTATATTCAAATACCCTTAGTTTTTACCCAAGGGAAAAAAAATACCATTTTTCTGTCCTAGAATCCCATCCAGGATACCACGTTACATTTAGTTGTCATAGCTTTCTTGGTGTTTTTAGCATTCTCTTGGTGACATTTTCTCAGACTTGTTTTTGCTGAGTTCAGCAATTTTGATAAGCATAGTTAGGTGTTTTGTGGTTTGTTTTTTTAGACAGGGTTGTGCTGTGTAGTCCAGGCTTCCCTTGAACTCACAATGGACCCCAGAGTGCTGACATTATAGGTCAAGGTATTTCATAGGAAGGTCTCTGTTGGAGTATCCCGATGGCTTCTCATAATTGGAATTGGTGTATTGGTTTTGAAGAAGACTGTCACAGTAAAGTACCTTGTCAATCACATCATAAAAAACTCTCTTTCCCCATTGCCAAATAGCCGATCCCTTGTAAGGTCTGTTGTTTATTGGACAAAAGTAGTGGATTTTAAAGCTAAAGTTCTTGTTATTACTTCTTCAAGTTACAAAGCATGAGCGGACAATTTACAGACTATAAGCGTGGTATTTGTCACGTTATAGAAGTTAGTGTTGCAAATCTTGAAGGAATTGAATTTTGTTACTTATCAGCGCAAGTTGTGTGCTGTAAAACGTCCAGAGAAAAGTGACTACTTGATCTTGTGCGCCCCCTACAGGTAAAGTCTGAGACAGCTATAGCTATCTCCTTAGTGATAAGTGGCTATTTTTTGAGTTTACATGACCGGGAAAAGAGGTTTTTTTGTTTTTCCAAAAATTGCACCAAGGTAAAGCAAAGCTTTAGTTGATGCGGATGTGTTGTGTAGGCGTTAGCAGTACTGCCCTCACTAAACGTTCATTGGACAGTAGCGCAACCCCAAGAAAAGGATGGTTGATAGCTTGCTTGCATGCACCGCAAGCAGGAGGCACCAATACTAGGTAGGGTTGTGGTGACTAATTAGGGACGCCTGCCTTAACCTGCCTCTTAGCTAACGTAGCTCCAGTGACCACTGCTACCAACATAAAGTAGCTACTGTTTTTTCCCCCTGGGGCTCAGAGAGGCCGCCAAAGGGCTACTAGGTATTACCCAGAAGACTAAGCGCCAGCAGGGCGAAAATTTGCATACACGCCCCGTGGGGGCGGGGCCGGGGGCGGGGCGGGACCGCAGTGCGCTCTGGAACTCAGCTGGTGCTTGGTCTAGAGCCGTGCCGTGACTGCTTTTCATTTCAGTTCTCTCCCCGTTATATTTTCTGTTAAAATTGTAAACGGCTCTTTTCCTGCAGGACCTTTGTTCCCCTTGCTAACAGTTTAGCCTTTCCAGTTGGTGCGTGCTCCGGACAGCGCTGGCAGACATGCGCAGGCGTCCTCGTAGGGGGCCGGCGGCTACGCTACGCCCCGGACCGGCCGCTGACCGGCTCCCGGTGTTTCCCGTTGCAGGTAGTTCTTCTGGGCATGGACATCCTGTCGGCCCTGGTGACCCGGCTACAGGATCGGTTCAAGGCGCAGATCGGCACAGGTGAGCTGGGAGCGGGAGCGGAGCTGGCCCAGCCTTCAGTCTGCTCAAATCCGCCACTAGGCTGCACCCATCGCCTCCAGACAGCTGCCCAGCTCGCCTCCAGTCTCCTGAGCTACTCTCGGTCGTTCAGCCCGTCCTCCTGCAGCCTCCCTGCCTCCCCCAGGGTCCCACACCTTAAGTCTCCCCTCATCTCCCGGGCTCTAACCGCATCACTGGACCTGCAGCCATTTTCCCCACCCCTTTCATATATATTGTGCTGGTTTCTCCCAGCGTTTGTGTTACATGGAATGTTACTAATTTGTATTCTGATTTCTTATCCATCATCCTTTAGCGCCAACCAAATTATATTTGTCCGCAACCCTTCTTTATTGAGAGGCGATTTTCTTTGAGAAGTTCTGCAAAACTGAGGAGGTTGGATTTTCCCCCAAATTATTGTTGACATTCCTATTCTCACGTTGGTTGCAAATGACACTGAAGGCTCGCTCTCATTTTGAAAAGAAAATGTCAGCAAAATGGAAAATGTCAACAGATTTAGACACCAGTAAATTCTCAGCCCCCTGATATTTCTTGATGACAGTATAAAACACCAAGTAGTTCTGTTTGTGCAACCATTTCTTTATAGAATTTCTCTCTCGGGCCTTTGCATGTGCTATGCCAACACTTTATTACTGTGCTATACCGCTGAAATGTATCCATTTCTGTTAGGACAGGTGTTAGCTCTCCTGTGAAAGTGCTCCTTTACAAATGATGGTGAACTATATTCTTGTCTGGCACTACATAACTACATAACTACAAATTTAAAAAGAATTTACTATTATAATTTATTTTGGTAATGTTTCACTTCCCTGCTAAATTAGCTGAATTATTCACGTTTGTTTTTGTAATGGAGATTTATAAATTCTTAAAAGAAGCCAAGTAAGCTGACCTGTGGTGTACAGGTTTCCTTGGAGTGGTGAGGGACAGCCCACACTTGCTGTAGGGGGGGGCGTGTAGAGAGCAAGGCTCTATCTTATGTGTGTACAGTAAATATAAAGCACACACTGCCATACACTGATTGTGTGTGCCTACCTTTCCCTCAGATTTCCTTTCTTTATCTACCAATTACACGTATTTCACTAGCTTACAAATATATTGGTAGCTGGCTGGTGGAAAGTGAAGTAGAGAAGGAGACAGATTGCCCATGCAAAGGATTTTCAGATTCTTACAATAACTTATAAATTCCAGCAAGGAGCATAGTGCTGTTTGCAAAGCTGAATGGATATAGAATGAGATATATCAAATAGGCCAGTGTTTTTTGTCTTCTCAGTTTCTTGAAATATCAGTAGTTGCTGACCACAGGTCCCTGAGTCAGTTTCACTTGATCAGTTTCCATTTTGGTTTTCAGTGCTGCCGAGCCTCATAGACAGACTGGGAGATTCTAAAGACTCTGTGAGGGAGCAAGACCAGACTCTGCTGCTAAAGATCATGGATCAAGCTGCTAATCCACAGGTATGGCAAGAGAAGCATTTGGAGGCCAGTGGTTGTGTGTCTTCTTGCACAAATAGTGTATGGCTGCATAGGCTAAATTTCTTTCAAGATGATGTATTAGAGGTGTCTGTGTTCATAGTATTTAATCTGCTTCCCCATATAAGTAGCAAGTATGTAAATAAGTAGTAAAACATTAGTTTAATCTCTTAGACCCTTTAGTTCATTTATATGACTGGCTCTCCATTTTTCTGGAAAAAAAAGATGCAGCTACAGTGTCTGCTGTCTCCTAGTGAGCCGGGTTTACTGGGATAGAAAGATGAAACCCTGTCTTCCAGGGTCCTACTGTTGACTGTAGGCATGGGGTGGACGTGGTCAGCAGGGGCCTTCCCAGGGAAGATAAAACTTAAGTTGCCATAAAAGATGACCGTGTGTTTCACTTGTGCATGGGTGATGCCTTAGTTACTTTCTCATTGCTGAGACAAAATACCCAACACCTACAAATTAAAGGAGGAAAGGTTTATGTCAGTTCACAGTTCGTAGAGATTTCAGTCCACAGTCTGCTGGCTCCAAGGCAGGGAGGCATGGCAGAGGGATATCGCAGAGGAGAAGGTGTGGGACCGCTGGGGGAGGCGGGGAGGCTGCAGGAGGACGGACTGAACGACTGAGTGCATGAAGCTTTGGAGGGGCATCTGGACACAATCTAACTGATGAGGAGAGCAGTGTGAGTGGGTATGTGGTTTTTGGCAGGCCACCCATTCTCCTTTTGTTACTTTTCTCACCTATTATATGGGACCAGCAAAACTTTCTTCTAGAATTGTTGAATTACATGCATTTATATAAATTCATGTGTTTTGAATTAAGTTGGTATATTTGATAGAATGATGTGTATCATCATTCTGAACGCTCTTGAGAGGATCCAGTGTGTGGAGGGCAGGACCATTTTGGCACCTGCTAAGAGGTTCCTCTTCTGTTTGACCCCTTCCTACGTGAAAGGTGGCAGCGGTCTTTCTCTTCTCACCTGTTCTTTGTCACCTGCAGTATGTATGGGACAGAATGCTCGGAGGCTTTAAACACAAGAATTTCCGCACGAGAGAAGGCATCTGTCTGTGCCTTATTGCAACACTCAATGCGTAAGTCTGGGATGAACCTTAACTTTTTACTTAGCTGAAGTTTTTAAAAAAATCTTTTATTTTGAAGTTACTATAGATTCAGGGAAAGTTGCACAGAAATTCACTGGAAGATATCTTCCCCTAGCTCCAACCTTTCCCCACTGTTAATATTTTGCATAATGATCCTACAGTGTCAATACCAGGAAAGTGATTACAGTTACAGATCTTACGCATACTGTCCAGGTGACAGGTGTCACTGTGGTGCCCCCTCCCAGTGGCCATGTCGTGACTCCTGTGAACTGCTAATCTGTGCTGATTTTGTCATTTCAAGAATGTTATTTAAATGGAAGTGTAGATTATGTCACTTTTTGAGATGGCCTCTTTTCCCTCAGCACAATTCTGTTCAGGTTGCAATACATGTTGTTTATGGTAACAATGATGTTTTATTGCTGAGTAGACTTCCATAGGATAGCCAGGTCTGTTTATTTAATCATTTGCCTGTTGGAAAATTTAGGTGATTTCTAGTTTGGCACTATTCAGAAAGAAGTTGTTATCACAAACGTGTATAAGTTTCTGTATGAACATAAATTTTCGTTTTTCTTGGATCAGTGCCCAAGGGAGCAATGGCAGGGTGATTTGGTAAGGCCATTTTTAAGTTTAAAATAAACTGCCAATTTCTTTTTAAGAGCAGTCTGTGCTCTTTTACATAATATTCACAAAGAATATTTGTGACAGCAGGGTTTGTTTGGGTTAAGAGTGGTGAATACCTTGAAGGTCCTCCAGGAGCAGCAGTGTGCAGTTGGAGGCCCTTTGGCTGCTGTTCTAGGTTGGTCTTGTGGTTCAGCAGCCTTAACAGAATGTCTGCTCTGCCACAGCACACAAGGGTCCTCTGCTGAGGACTGCGCAGGGACTTGCAGTTTGGTTGGCTCCCCTATGTTTGGTAGCACAGGAGCTGTGACCTGACAAAGCAGTGACACAGAACTGGCACATTCTATTGTGAGGCAAGCGGGAGGGTGAGGGGGAGGCCGGGCTGCCAGCTTGGCTGTGGAGGGGCAGGGCCACTGAAGGTGTGGAACTCTGTGCAAAGGGGCCATCAGGGTGCATTTACTTCGGAGCCAGCACTGGGTGGGATGCAGAGAACCTTGGTGTGAAGGGGTGATAGGGCCATCGGAAGGCAGAGGAAAGGGCAGCTATGGGAGGAGAGCATTTCTTTTTCTCAATAATACCACACTTCTTTCACTTTCAGCTCTGGAGCACATACTCTAACACTAAACAAGATCGTGCCACATATATGTAATTTACTTGGAGATCCAAACAGCCAGGTGAGTGAGACAAACTCAGTTGGTTCGGGTGCATTGAAGTGTTCTGTGTGTGTGTAGTAGGTGGCTGGGACTTTATTCGTCTTTACAGAGCTCTGATTATTGTTTAAGATATCAGCTACTCATTAGTTTATGAAATACTATTAGCAAGTGTAACCACTCTGCCTTCTTTTATAGGTAGGGTTGAAAAATCACTCTGGTGAATTGAAGGCATTGGGCCAGCCTCCAACATAAAGCAACTCTGGTCGCTGTTTCTGTAGCCAAAAGGGATGGAAGTGTGGGGTGAGGGGAGAGTAATTAGAAAGGCGCCTAAGGGGACTTTCTGTATTTACTCTGGGTGGTTGTTGTACTGGGGTATGTTGCTGTGGAAAGTGTACTGCACACTTAAGAATCTGTGCTTTATGTAAGTTTTAAAATTGAAAGAAAAACCCAGATACCCTCTCCTTAGTGTAAACATGTGGGGTAAGGTCCGGACATCTGCTCTGTGGTCAGAAGGGGTCACCATCTCATGACGCCTGCTCTGTGGTTGTTGTGCACTTCGGGAAGGCTGTCTTTCAGCCAGTTCAGTTTGGCTTCTCACCCAGAGTCACTTCTTTCCTTCCTTCCTTCCTTCCTTCCTTCCTTCCTTCCTTCCTTCCTTCCTTC